GAGGCACATACATACATACTTAATTGACCGCTCCCCATTGGGGCTTTTCAGGGCCAATGAAACACAACGAAACAACAACTTTTAAGAATCGCAACTGAGTCAGAGTCATGGCATTTCTGTAATAAAAACACCACTGCAAAGCTGGAAAACGTTAACTAGCGTGCCCTCTGTTTTGTCTCTAATGAAAAAGAAACGCCCTATTGTGAACTACTCTACAAAATAGGTTTACCATCACTTGTGAATCAACACCTCGCAGAAATAGTCTGTACGGTCTTCAAAGCTACATGTATGTACAGTGATCATGCACCAAAGAGTATCAAAGAACTGATGGAACATAGAAACCATACCGGGTAATTAGGACCTAAGAGGTAACAATATTTTAAAGCTGCCAAAGGCCAACACTACAACTAAGATGTCTGAAACGGTTTCTTGCTCGTGAAATTAGATAACAAATTACCTTAGCTGACCACCTTTAACATGCCGTTCGGTTGGTACCGATGGAACTGAATTCCCTTTTTGATTCAGTCAGCCCCAGAAGTATTTCGGCAAAAGAGGCGTGAACTCATTCAAGGGATACTGCATGTCAAAGTGGTAGCCGATTTCTTAGTTGTTGTCGGTTGTGGAGACACACACAAGCAGGCAGTTCAAGACCATGACAAGAACCTTATGACATTCCTCCAGCTACGTCAGGATTACGGGCTCAAGTTCAATGTGGAAAAGCTTAAGCTAAGGCAAACTGAAGTCTCCTTTATTGGGCACAATACCACCTCTGAATGGCTGCAAGCAGACCAAGCCAAGGTGGAGGCCATCTGTAACATGCTGGCACCTACAGACAAGGCAGGAGTCCAAAGCCTTCTGAGTCTGTTACAATACCTCAGCAAAGACTTTCCCAACCTGGCCAATGTCACTAAGCTAAGGGAACTGACACATATCAATGGCAAGACGCACAAGCCTTTGCACTTAACCGGTTAAAGGAAGCTGTGACGCATACACCAGTTCGCCTTTATTTCAACCATAGTGACAAAGTAACTCTTTAATGGTGCGCATCACAGTCTGGTCTTGAGGCTGCGCTGTTACAGAATGGGCAACCTGTGGCTTACGTGTCTAGAGTTCTCACATACACAGAAACCTGGTATGCACAAATCAAGAAAAAGCCACTGGCCATTGTCTTTGCAAGCAAAAGATTTGACACATACATATATGGTAGAGATGCAGTCACAGTCGAGACAGATCACAAACCCCTGGAGGCAATTGTTCGTAAAACCCTCAACACAGCACCACAACAACTTTAGCGAATGCTGTTTCGTCTCCAAGGACACCCTTAGCAAGGTTTTCACACTGAAGTTGATGTGACCCCATATGTACGGCATGAGGAAATAGACCACAAGTCTGCACTTTTAGTTAGTGAAGCTTGATGATGCCAGATAGAACAGGCTTCAGCAGATGACCCTGTTTTCCAGAAATTGTGTATGGTGATACAGCATGGTTGGCCTTCGAACAGAAAAGCTATCCCTGAATGCCTATATCCTTACTTCGATAGATGAGATGAGCTCACGGTTGAAGACAAACTAGTGTTAAAGGGCATCAACTGGTCGCATCAGCCTCTCTTTGCAAGAAACCAACGCATCCCACATTGGTGTCGAAGCTTGCATCCAATGAACACTCGATTGCAATATATATGTACAAATCTTGATATTTTTTCTAATTTGTGTCATTCAGGAGCTATCGTTATCTTAAACATAGTCCCAACAATTGTGCCCCTACTCTTTTGGAGTCTTTCAAGGGCTCTCTAGGATACTAAGAGACTGGGCCAACGATTGGTCGGATTCCCTCTCAATTGTTTTTTAGACTACTTGTGTTTGCTTGGCTGGGATTTCTATTATCTGTAGCCCCCAAACACTGTTTTCGTTTTCTCGCATTAATGGATTTTCATGCAATCCTGCTTACTTGCACCCATGAATCGTTCATGAATATAGTGGTAGTGATTATTTTATTTTTGCAGAAATCCCATGCAGTCCTGGAATTTGTGGTTGGACCAACACGAAAAGAGGGTCATTGTAGTACTACAAATATAGCTTCAAAGGCAAGATCCAGCACCCAACCAAGCCGGACTCTGATGCCTCATTTGTAAAGGGCAATTTAAGTTTTAAGTTGCAACTCTGCAAAGAGAAAGACAGCAAACACTTTAAAGACAAAACTTTGTTAGTTGCCTTTTTCTCATGGCTCTGACAACCAAATGTACAAATGAAGAAAACAAGGCCTGAAACTGATATCATTGAAAAAAGTAATAGAGAAGCGATCCTCACTATTACGTTGACAATTTAATTGTCTCTCATAGACAGCTGAAAAATTCAGGTGGTTCCAATGGGATTCAAACCCATGACCTCTGCGATGCCGGCGCATTGCTCCAGATACCAACTGTGCTATGAAGCCACACAGTTGAGCGAGGATCACTTCCCTATTTTGTCTATAACCCACACTTAAATACATTCATTTCATG